CGCCCACTGCTGCCTCACCACACCTGCTCACCACTATCACACACTGCACCTCAATCAGACACGTATGCGTGCACACACACACACACACACACACACACACACACACACACACACACACACACAATTAGGAAGTGATGTGGTGGAGGCTGACTCCATGCACAGTTTCAAGTGTAGATATGATAGAGCCCAATAGGCTCAGGAATCTGTACACCTGTTGATTGACGGTTGAGAGGCGGGACCAAAGAGCCTAAGCTCAACCCCCGCAAGAACAACTAGCTGAGTATACACACAAACACACACACACACCTCCCCGCCAGAGGTGGAAACAAATGTGCAGTTTCTTTCACCCTGATGCCTTTCACCCTCATCTAGCAATAAATAGGTACCTGGGAGTTAGACAGCTGCTACGGGCTGCTTCCTGGGGATGTGTGTGTGTGTGTGTGTGTGTGTGTGTGTGTGTGTGTGTGTGTTTCCTAGAAATATATATGTAGTAGATATAACAGGAAAAATAGATTGGTTAGAAAGGCGGGGTCCAGGAGCTAATAGCTCGATCCTGCAGTCACAAATAGTACAGTAAATACATTTGTATTTTTACAAATTTAGACCCACACCACTACATTACGTAGGGGGGGGGGGTGAGGTTCCATAGTGGTGGTGGTGAGGTTCCATAGTGGTGGTGGTGAGGTTCCATAGTGGGGGTGGTGGTGAGGTTCCATAGTGGTGGTGGTGGTGAGGTTCCATAGTGGTGATGGTGGTGAGGTTCCATAGTGATGGTGGTGAGGTTCCATAGTGGTGGTGGTGGTGAGGTTCCATAGTGGTGATGGTGGTGAGGTTCCATAGTGGTGGTGGTGAGGTTCCATAGTGGTGATGGTGAGGTTCCAGTGTTGGTGGTGAGGTTCCATAGTGGGGGTGGTGGTGAGGTTACATAGTGGTGGTGGTGGTGAGGTTCCATAGTGGTGGTGGTGGTGAGGTTCCATAGTGGTGGTGGTGGTGAGGTTCCATAGTGGTGGTGGTGGTGAGGTTCCATAGTGGTGATGGTGGTGAGGTTCCATAGTAGTGGTGGTGAGGTTCCATAGTGGTGATGGTGAGGTTCCAGTGTTGGTAGTGAGGTTCCATAGTAGTGGTGGTGGTGAGGTTCCATAGTGGTGGTGGTGAGGTTCCATAGTGGTGGTGGTGAGGTTCCATAGTGGTGGGGGTGAGGTTCCATAGTGGTGGTGGTGGTGAGGTTCCATAGTGGTGGGGGTGAGGTTCCATAGTGGTGGTGGTGAGGTTCCATAGTGGTGGGGGTGAGGTTCCATAGTGGTGTGGGTGAGGTTCCATAGTGGTGGTGGTGAGGTTCCATAGTGGTGGTGGTGGTGAGGTTCCATAGTGGTGGGGGTGAGGTTCCATAGTGGTGGTGGTGAGGTTCCATAGTGGTGGGGGTGAGGTTCCATAGTGGTGGGGGTGAGGTTCCATAGTGGTGTGGGTGAGGTTCCATAGTAGTGGTGGTGAGGTTCCATAGTGGTGGGGGTGAGGTTCCATAGTGGTGGTGGTGAGGTTCCATAGTGGTGTGGGTGAGGTTCCATAGTGGTGGTGGTGAGGTTCCATAGTGGTGTGGGTGAGGTTCCATAGTGGTGGTGGTGAGGTTCCATAGTGGTGGTGGTGGTGAGGTTCCATAGTGGTGAGGGTGAGGTTCCATAGTGGTGGTGGTGAGGTTCCATAGTG